TTGTTCATCTCAAACAGTGTAAACAAAACGTGTGGCAACGCTTGGCTGCGTCCACCAACGTTTGGTCTTGTTACGCAATAATAATATATTTTGTCTGTCAGGGTCAGCCCCTTAGACCACATGTTATCCCCACTGAGGAAGTTAAATATATATATATATATATATATATATATATATATATATATATATATATATATATATATATATATATATAGATAGATAGATAGATAGATAGATAGATAGATAGATATAGATAATATTCAGGACGTAACTTTTCTTTTTTACCGTCAAAACCTTCAATGGGGGGGGGGGGGGTGTGGCTTCCCAAACTGCTTGTCATCTGTCTTAAATACCACCCTTCAAGACAAGAGTTTGAGAACCCATCTAAACTTGTAGTGTTTAACCTATACATAACTTCTTTACTGTATTAATTTTTAATTTGAAAAACAAATTGTTAAGGTAGGGTTATCAAAATAAGAACGGGAAAAAACCTCCTGCAACGATTGCATTAATTGGTGTCAAGTCTGAATTCCCAATCCCCCCCACCCCCATCTTACCCCCTCTCTGCATTATGTATGACCTAAATGTTCAGTCACTATAAAAGCTGCAACGGTGCGAGATAACAGAACGCCAGTCGTAGAGAAGAACTGAATCGTTGCAGAGTGTACAAGAAACAAAGTAAGTCGTGTTGATTACCTTTTGTGGTTGTGTCCGTGTGTAAACACGATTACTTGAGTACCGTTAAAGCTAGGTTGATGAAATTTCATATATAAGTATTTTATCAAAATCGTAGATCCGTATCAACTTTTGAGCGATTTCCAATAAACAGAAGTGGTACTTTTTCTGCTTTAAATTTTTAAAAGCCTATAACTAGAGTATTATTTCAGATAGATAAATAAAATTTCACATGTAAGTAAAAGATCTAATTCTGTACCTTCTTTCAAATTCATAAAAAAAGTTTTTATTTCAAATTACCTGAATGTTTGGTTTATTGGTAATCGAACATGTATTTTCTTAAGAGCAAAGCAATGTGGTGTCTTATGAAATTCAGAACTTTGACTTCCATTATTTGTTGCTTGCAAGGTGTTAATAACATCAATGTAAATTAGCCGTGGATTACAGGAAAAAAAGACTCATGTGTTCAACTTTACTAATCCCTGTTATGGTTGCCACACAATATAAATTGACAATGACGAAAACAAACCTGTAACTTTTGTTGGTAACTGGGTATTTTAACAAATAGTGTCGCCTTTCGAAATAGCGAAAGCGTGCTTTCATTATACATTCTCAGTTTGTTCTTAGTCGCATTAATTCTGGATGTTCTATACGAGGATGACATTCACAAATTATCTTGAGTTGATGCTGCATACATTAGGGCCATTACGGCATTCGGGCTATTGTTTTTCGAGAAAACTTCCAGCACACAGTATTCTGAAATCTCTTTCCGTAGCCTCCACAATTCAACACATTTCTACACAGGTTTTAGGCGTCAACTGAGTCTGCGCCAATTACAACTTCTAGTATTATTTTTGTAATAGATTGAGATAATTGTGAGGTCAAGGGAACTCACCCTTCTGTATTAGTATTATATTTATATTGTTATCTTGAGTGATGTCTCTTACATGTATATAAATAGTTGTCTCTCGTCACTTCCGTCCGGTTAACAAATAAAAGCTGTTTACATGCTCATGGCTTCTGTCTCCGTTGTATTCATAATCTACCACATTTTGGCGACGAGGATAAAAATCGACTAGAAAGAGCACCTACTTACGCAAAAAAGAGGTTTGCTAGAGCTTATTAGCTAAGTATTTCTAGAATAATGGCGCTGTATGGCCAAATAAAAGAATTTGATGCGAATGATGAAATCATTCAAGATTACCTAGATAGGTTAAGCTTTTACCTTGAAGCAAACGACGTGACGATAGAAGCCAAAAAGAGAGCTGTTTTGTTAACAGTCATAGGGCCTCAACAATTTAGGCTACTAAAAGACTTATGCGCACCAGCTAGTCTAACTACCAAGAGCTTTAACGAGCTGAGCAAATTGCTAACAGACCACCATGCGCCTACCCCATCAAAGTTTCTATGTCGAGCTAGATTTGACAGTAGGACTCGTCAACCAAACGAGTCAATATCAGAATATGTTGCTGCTTTACGTCATTTAAGTAAATTTTGTGAATTCGGCAATACGCTGTCTGACAGACTATGTGAAAAGTTTGTGACAGGTGTAAACAGCCCTGATATTCAAAGAAAGTTGCTGCTCGAGTCAGATCTCACATTAGAAAAAGCAATACAACTTGCAACTTCATTCCAGCAGTCATCAGATGCGGCGAGATCTTTAGCACCTTCAGAGATCCATGCAGTAAACAGCAGGTTAGTCAATAAACATCAACCCCATCAGAGCATTCCAACTTATGCTAAACAGCCTGCTCGTTCAAATCCTAGATCTAAATCTAGTAATAATTATCAAAAATGTCATCGATGCAAAGGTCCCCATGCATCTCATCGGTGCAAGTTCAAGTTAGCAACTTGTTATAAGTGCGGTAAGCAAGGTCACATTGCCAAGGCCTGCTTTGCAAAGTCTTCGTCTGTTGCTAAATCTAGCCAGTCAAGACAGTACCGCAACCAAAAGCAGCACTATGTTAACTCTCACCAAGACTACCTAACCCAACCAATGAACCACTCTACCAGTGAAAATGCTCAAACTGATTCGCAGCCGGATTTCAACCTGTTCTCTGTGAAATCAATAAGTCATGCTCCCATCAGTGTACTAGTTAATATCAACGGTAAGAGCATCAGCTTCCAACTTGACACCGGAGCATCTCTAACAGTCATCACAAAGAAAGACTTTGACGCTGTCACAGGAGGATCAGTGCCTCTACAGCCATGTCACAAGTGTCTAACAACATACACTGGTGACAATGTTCCGGTAATAGGAGAGTGTATGGTTCATGTAAGTTATAATGGTCAAAGTGTTAAACTTCCTCTTCTTGTGGTTGAAGGAAATGGACCACCATTACTAGGTAGGAACTGGTTAAGTAATCTTAAGTTAAATTGGGAGAGTATTTGTTCATTGAACAATGGAAAAGAATCTAGTCTTACTTCAATAGATAAAGTAATATCTGAAAATAAAAGTGTTTTTGGCAATTCAGGTTTACTAAATGATAGAACAGTGAAGATAAGCATTAAAGACACAAATCCAAGATACTGCAAAGCTAGAGTTCCACCTTATGCAATGAGGAATAAAATTGAAAATGAGCTAAGTAAATTGGAATCTAATGGCATTATAAAGAAGGTAGACTATTCCGATTGGGCAACGCCCATTGTGCCAGTGTTAAAGAAGGATGGTTCTATAAGAATTTGTGGAGATTATAAAACTACACTGAATAAGCAAATAGAGCTAAATAGGTACCCTATTCCTAACATTGAGGAAATTTCTTTGAATTTGGCAGGAGGAGACAAATTCACTGAATTAGACTTTAGTCATGCTTACACTCAACTAGAACTGCATCCAGATTCAAAAGTCTATACGACAATAAACACACATAAAGGACTCTACCAATATGAAAGACTATGTTTTGGCATATCATCTAGCCCTGGAATTTTCCAAGCTGTCATGGACAGTATTTTTAAGGATATTCCAAATGTTTGTGTGTACTTTGACAATGTGTACATAACTGGTAAGAATGACACTGAACATCTTAAAACACTTGATAAAGTATTAAAAATAGTTGGTGAAAAAGGTTTAAAGATAAACAAAGATAAATGTCAATTCATGCTGACAGAAATTAGTTTTCTTGGTTATATATTGAGCAAACAAGGCATCAGACCTCAACCTGAGAAAACAAAAGCCATTAAAGAAGCACCCAAACCTGAAAATACCCAACAACTAAGAGCTTTTTTGGGCTTGATAAATTACTATGCAAAGTTCATAGGGAATCTCTCTGGTAAACTATCACCACTGTACAAGCTGCTACAGAAAAATGCAACTTGGCACTGGGGTAAACAACAAGAAGCTGCTTTTAATACAGCAAAAGAGGCTTTGTCTTCTGACACCTTACTAACTCACTATGACCCAGGGAAAAGACTTATATTAACATGTGATGCTTCACCAGATGGTGTAGGAGCAGTATTGTCCCACATGGATGAGAAGGGTGACAGACCCATTGCTTTTGCCAGTAGATCTTTGAACCAGGCTGAGAAAAATTATTCTCAGTTAGATAGGGAAGGCTTAGGCATCATTTTTGGTGTTAAGAAATTTCATAAGTTTCTGTTTGGTAGGAAATTCACCATCTTTACAGATCATAAACCATTGCTAGGTTTATTTGGAGAAAACAAAACCCTACCTGAGCATGCCTCACCAAGAATTCAAAGATGGGCTATCACACTAACTGCATACAATTATGAATTGAAATACAAACCTGGATCTGAGAATAGTGCAGATAGTCTTAGCAGATTACCTTTAAAAAACCAAAGCCTGAGCTATGTACCAGAAGATGTATTTGTTCTCTTCACTATCATGGATAACTCCAATATAAAGGTGAATGATATTAAAAGAGAAACACAAAAAGATGAGTGCTTAATAAAAGTATATGAGTACTGTAAGAATGGTTGGCCTGAAGAGTCTGTGAATGATGACTTAAGGCCATATTAAATAAGAAATAAAAACCTTTGTGAAGATAATATAAAAGATGGAGAAGATACAGTCCATTATCAGTCAGAGTTGCCTAAACAAAGTATTTGTAACTTAATAAATGATTATGGTGATATGGCAATTTCAAATGTTTTAAAGAGAATACATTAGTAAGAAGGAATGTGATCATCAAACAACCTTGCTAACATCATTAGCACTTACAGAAACTAAAAGGGTAACATCAAAAGAAAAGAAAAAGGATTTTTGCCATTTAATACACCCACTTCAAATACTGGATCACAGTTGCAAAGTGATATGGTCCAGAATAGTACTTTTAAACAGTATTTTTGGTTACCAGGAAAAGCACTATCAGATTACCTGAGGAAATTGATCAATCAAAGAAATCTATGTCAGTCAAGGATCTGAATAACAGCATAATACTTCCAGATGCCAATTCAAAAATAGTTCCATTAAATCATGACAAATCATCCATTGAAAGAGAATTTGCTGTTAATAAGAATGTGTATCTAAGAAATTATGGGAGAAAGGAAAAATGGATACCAGGTCAAATTGTTCAATGTACAGGACCTGTGCCTTATAAAGTTAAAAATAACTTGTGCAGATAATAAGTGTGAATCTGCCAATCCCACCAAATCTGAACAGTTCACACCAACTCAGTTTGTTCCACAACCAAGTTCTGTTGATATGAGTGAACCAAGTTGTCTGGAGTCAGAAAATGTAAATTCTGGAGTTAATGATTTAAATCCTAGACCTCCTGAGATAGAGAATCCAAATGGTCAGAATATTGAGTCACCAAATCAAAAGCCACTGAGAAGGTCAAACAGGACAATCAAAGTCCCAAATAAGTTAGACCTATGATTTTAAAGGTCAAAAGGACTTTGACATCATTGTTTTGTATCTTGATTATGTTGTAGCATATTGTGCATTGTTTGTAAGGATGTAATCTACCATAGTGTTCATGTTACAATATAATTGGTGATTTTAGGATACTATCAATTGTTCTATTGAGAGATGTGTTATTGTGTTCTAAGGGTAAAGGGATGTAATAGATTGAGATAATTGTGAGGTCAAGGGAACTCACTCTTCTGTATTAGTATTATATTTATATTGTTATCTTGAGTGATGTCTCTTACATGTATATAAATAGTTGTCTCTCGTCACTTCCGTCCGGTTAACAAATAAAAGCTGTTTACATGCTCATGGCTTCTGTCTCCGTTGTATTCATAATCTACCACAATTTTCAATTATTCTTGACAGTGTTCGAGCTCTCGACAATGAGTTTGATATTTATTCGCAAAAAATTGCAAGTTTCGGCAGTTTGCTCAAAGTAGTTACATAGTCTTTAATTTTCTCATCCGCTTCCTTATTCCTCTGTTAATGATGAATCTTCTGATGTTTAACTTGTATCCGTAACTGAAATGTTTACTAAAACCTGTCATATCTTTTACTTTTTGATCTTCTGGCTAATTCATGGGAGTGTATATCGTCAACCCCTTAAGACATAAAGTATGTAGTAACAATTCTCTTACATACTCCCCATTTTCTTCCTTGAGACGCGGTTAAACCCCGTCTGCTGAAGTAGATTGTGGGTGCGGTTTTCAACACTTCCCAGTTCAGCAATCAGCAATAGATTTTTTACAATAACATTTTAAACAATACTTAGCCTTGACGGCTATCACTCAGTAATGTAGACTACAAGCTGCCATGATGTAACATTACTTAACTCGTTGTACTTAGAACACAACAATAGACGCCACCAAGTTTAATTAAGACGCCACCAGGTTTACTTTTAAACATTTCAAGTATGTAAAGTCTTTGACGACAGGTCTGATCACAAGGTATCGTTCATAGTAACGTCGGGATGTAAAAACACAGCTTATAAACTACACCCACACAGACACTACATTTTCAATGGCAATCACTACGAAATATATAGGCCTATCTATATACTACTAAAACTCAAAGTTGTTTACATGCTTGAATATTTATTTGTTTGTTTTTTTGTTTGTTTGTTTGTTTGGCTGATTGACTATTGTACATGGTTACACTCATCGTGCAGAGCTGTGAAATAGTATGTAGGTAGAGAATAATTTTTTAATGCAGACAGACTGTTAATCACAAATTTATTTAAAGACGTTAATTAATTTATTAATTTATTCATAGGTAAATTAACCATATTTTTTTAAAATGTTAAAACATTAACTAAACTTTGTGGGGATAGTGACGTCCCTTGATGTGTTTACTTTTTGGTACAATAAAAATGGCGGACTCCATCATAGACTTTGTGGCCCATTCAAAAGTTTAACGCGTTACAAAGCTAATTTTCTGCCGGCTATAACTTAAACAATACGTCCGTTTGATGTATTTATTACGTTCCAACACTAATATCAATTTTCAACTGTCTTTTTCATTTAGTTTTACGATAAATTTCTCTAGATCTAAAGATCAGCTGTCGAAGGAAAGTTATGAATCTAGCCTAGATCTAGATCTATAGTTATCTAGATCTAGATCTAGCATAGATGTAGGTCACTAGACTCAATGTAAATTCTAGATCTAGACTTAATGTAAATTCTACATCTAGAATCTATTTCAGGCCTTAATTATTTTATATAAATCTTTGTTTGGCTAATTTAAGATAAAATTTAATTTGAAAGTTAGTACTACTAGACTTAGATCTAGATCAAGAATCTATGCGCGTAACTGAAGTTGCATAAGGAGACTCAAAGTATAGTATAAAAATTCACGTGTGACGTCACGAGTAAATAGCTAAGTTGGCAGTGTAGTCGGCTCTCATTCGGGTGGCACGGGTTCTAGACCAATATGTCAATGATATTGTTTTTTCAATTTTTTTTTAGAAGTGAATGATAAAGTTGCCTATCTGAACTTTGCAAGATACAGGGCAGATGAAGTAGAGTTCATCTGTTTCTTTGTCATAAGCATATGAAAGGATAGTGTGGTCAGATACATGCTCGGCTGGAATCGTTTTTTAAACGATAAAAACATGTTGTCTGAGACTTGGCAGGACACTGGGCAGGTGAAGTAGAGTTGAGTAGGTCACCTGTGACGTCAGTATATGAAGGGATAGTCCGAAATCGGTGTTTTCGGTGTTTTTAAAAGATAAAAAACATATTTTTGAATGTGGGGTCTGTTTTTTGTGACGATAAGTGACACTGCAGTAGCGTAACGAGGAGGGGGGGGGGGGCATATGTCCCCGGGCGCCGACCTTAGGGGGCGCCAAAATGGGTTGGAAAAATAAATTGAAAGGTTGAGGGGGGTGCAAATCGAAAGTTTGGGTGGGGGGGGGGTTCAAATCAAAACTTGAGGGGGGTGCACATCAAAGTTTGGGGGGGGGGGTTGCAAATCGAAATCTTGCGGGGGGGGGTGGGTTCAAATTGAAAAGTTTGTCCCCGGGCGCCGGGAAGGGTCGCTATGCCTCTGAGTGACAGACGTGATGTTTTTTTTTTATGGATGACCCCCGAAAACCACAGTTATCCAACGGATGACGGGTACTCTAGTATGTAATAAAAGGTACGAAACAATAATAAACAAAACATAATATAATAATTTTCTTATCATAGAAATTATAATATTGAATATTGCATTATCTAAATGACAAGACGGGAAGAATAGGTAAACTTCGGCAGAAATTGCATTGTATGTACAAGTATGTAACCTATTTTTATTAAACCTATTTTAAGGATGTATTGCTTTCGATACGGCATTTTGATAAGGCATACTATTCTGTTATTCAATATGGCATTCTGACAGACATCCTGTACACTATCCTTGTCGACTTCACTGTTGTTAGATTTTAATACCGAGCCATCGTAAAGCTAGTCATTGTTACATGTGTAGTCTACCCTATAGACGTTGTTCATCACAAACAGTGTAAACAAAACGTGTGGCAACGCTTGGCTGCGTCCACAAACGTTTGGTCTTCTTAAGCAATAAAAATATCTTTTGTCTGTCAGGGTCAGCCCCTTAGAGCACAAAGGCACAGTGGGCGACTTTAACATGTTTTCCCCACTGAGGAAGGTATATATATATATATATATATATATATATATATATATATATATATATATATATATATATATATATATATATATATATAATATTCAGGAAGTAACTTTACTTTTTTTACCGTCGAAACCTTTAATGGAAGGGGGAGGGGGGAGCTTAAGGTAGGGTTATCGAAATAAGAACAGGAAAAACCTCCTGGAACGATTGTATTAATTGGTGTCAAGTCTGAATTCCCATATCCTCCAACCCCCATCTTACCCCCTCTCTGCATTATGTATGACCTAAATGTTCAGTCACTATAAAAGCTGCAACGTTGCGAGATAAAAGAACGCCAGTCGTAGAGCAGAATTGAATCGTTGCTGAGTGTACAAGAAACAAGGTAAGTCGTGTTGATTACCTTTTTCTATTCCTGGAATTAAATATTCAAAGTTGAAGAATTCTATTTTACTTTTAGGTTTCACATGTTACATAGGCATTTGAGTTTATTGTTGTTTTATATTAACTTCAGAATGTTTTATTTACTGCTATGAGTCTTGGCCAAAATGATCAGATGGGGACAATTTCTTGAGAAAAAATACTAAGTTTTGTTCTTAGGGGGATAGGTAAATAGCAGTTTATTATTGTATTTATCATAAATAATCGTTTTATATCTAAAATCAGTGTATAAAAAAGCTTGAAAATATGTGTGTACAGTTTTATAAATATAATAAAACGTATGACTTTGGCAAATTGTTATTCTAGCACAAAGTATTTAAAAATTAGTTAGTCCTTCTTTATTATTTAATTTATTCATACTATCATACAACTGTATAATATTGGATGCAATTTCAAATAATAATATGCTGTTATCTCCATTTTTATAATGTTTAGAGCTTTGAATATTACACATCCGTAATGAAAATTAATCCGAGCCACAATACATTTTTTTTAAATTTTCAGGCCAGTTCTGCATCACTGAATGTTGAACACACGTATCTCTAGAGCTGATATATATCTACAGCTACATAATACATTGACTAGGTTCACTGAATGTTACACACGAAGGTTGCAAGTTGAGACACCTCAAAGCTACATAAGATCTCGTCTCAGATCTGGCTTGGTTCACTGAATGTTACAAACACAAATGCCACCGGCTCAGACCTACCTACAGCTACAAAAGACATTGTCTCTGATTTGGCTTCTTGCCTATACATGCATGGGTCTATCACAAAACAACACGACCACTTCAAGCCACGTGACTCAGTCAGCCGGAAGTGACACAAGTCAGTCGCCATGTTCGATCCAGAACCAACCATCTGGCGCGGTGGTAGACTGTCAAGGTCGTAATATTCGCAGTCTTGACCTTTCCTGGTTTCCCAATAATACGACTACCATATTATTAGGCAACAACGTTTTGACCTCTGTACCTTCGATCTTTGAGAACCTACGTTACCTACGTCGGCTCGACTTGTCTCACAACAAAATTAAAAGTCTTACTTTTTCCGGCCTGGGGAAATTAGAATATCTAAATTTAAATTTTAATCCACTAATTATACACACATTTTCTAAAGAAACATTCGCCCCTCTAAAAAGCCTTTCCGTGATGTCATTGGAACAAGATGGTTATTTTAACCTGCCTTTTTGTCCAAATGATATATTCTCAAGTTTGCTGAAATTAGACACATTGAGCATTAGTTGTTTTGGTGGTGATTTATACTTTGGTGAAGAGTCGAAAAATTTGACATCCTTTTCAACCTTAATTATAAGTCGGTATTTAAACCGAATTACTAACTCAAGTTTCAAAAACATAAATCAGATTAAAAATTTGGAAATAATTGACATAACTTTCCAATTACTGATCGATGAATCCCCTTTCTTTGGTTTAAACTATCTAAATAGTCTTAGTTTTACAAATGTTGTCGTGCAGCTAAAAATTGTACTTTTTATGTTAAAAGACTTGGTTAATATAACGATGGATAAGATTACTCTGATATCTGTCCGCTTGGTTCGAGGTGATTCTTACAACACTCTACTCACGGGAGATGCCATCCTTACACGCAAGTCTACAAAATATTTAACTAAAATATGCGTGGCACATGTTTCTATACAAAAATGTTTAATTTTTGTAATTATGGAAGGCGCCTTATCAAGCCCAGTATGGGGTCGATGCTTGAAAAGTATTAATTTGAATGAAAACCAAATCTATGGTACCAAACCGATTCTATATCAATTACTTAACATGAAACTTATAGAGACCATCATGATCGAATTTTACAATACATTTGAACCAAAAACCAAATCACTTATGGAAATTGTAAATATTGATCAATGTAAAAGTGGTAAAAGCACAAGGAGTAAAAACTCTTACAGTGTTGGGAGTAGTATGCTCTCACAACGAGGTACTAAGTTCGTTGAGAAGGGTATCATTGTCTACATGTCAAGCTCGCTACGTTATTTAGATTTTAAAAGATTGTTCTCGTCGCTTTCTTTTGAACTTCCAGTAACTTTTGTGGGAGCTAACAATGTATGTTTTTTAGATATTTCCGAATCTTCTGGAGAGATTTATACAAGCACAGTGAAAGGTTTGGATAATTTAAAAATATTTATATTAGCTGGTAACGGTATTAGCGTTTTAAGCTATTCATTTTTTGACAAGATGCCAGGTCTAGAAACGTTGGACTTGTCTAGAAATCAGATACCAAATGACTTGATGTCAAACTTCGGAGACAGGCTGTTTCAAAATCTAACAAACCTTCACCAGCTTGAACTGTCGTTCAACTCTTTTAAGTCAATGAGCTCAAAGACGTTTTTGTATAATAGAAATCTAAGAGAATTGTTTCTTGCAGGGAATAGATTTCGACAATTCCCGTTTAACCTACAATACACCCCAAACTTGAGGGTTTTAGATCTGAGGTTCAATGACCTGATTACTCTTACAGCTGACGTGAGATACAGTTTAGACAAGCTGGCAACAGACAACAAGGGGTTTAATTTGTATTTAGAAGGGAACGTTTTATCTTGTGGATGCCATGACATCCAATTCCTCCTGTGGATGAAGCTGACAATTGTAAATATGGATCTGGATAGAAACTATTCTTGTATTGACACTGACGGGGTTTCTAGACATACAGAATCCATAACAGATCTTGGAGCATATTGGCGCAAATGTACGGGAGAGTCTTTTCTTTGGTTTTCTATTATAATGTTCTGTTTAATGTTCATTGGGTTTTTGCTGTGTTTTTTTGTTACCAAGTACAAAACGTACATCATTTCTGGACTGCTTAATTTGTTTAGTGAAACTTTTCTAAAGAAACCTTCCAACTACGAGATTGGTGTCTTCATTGGTTATGCTGATAGAGATTACCAGTTTGCTTGTCATGACCTCAGGCAGTTTATCGAGGACACGCTGGGGTTAACGACCTTTATTCGTGACCGTGACCTCTCACCTTCAACTGACCTGGCCTCTGCCACTGTGCAGGCCATAGACAGAAGTTGGCGCGTTCTTCTGGTTGTCAACGAAACGTTTTTGTCACGTGAACGTTGGTTCTTGTTCATGTGTAGAGCAGCCACATCTGCTTTGACGTCTGCTAACCCTAAAAGGATTGTCGTTCTTGTTGAGGACCAGTTACGTCACCGTCTGCCAGCCGAACTGTCGAGAGTTGTTTTGGAGGAAAACATTGTTGTCACCCGAGGAAATTTCTTAGACTATGATCTAAAGGAAAAACTAAGAACAAGATTGGTAGAGTGGAACCACTTAACACAAGTTTAAATAATATTTGCTGTAAATTTCTATTCGATCTTTGGCTCGGCAGCTCAAATCTTTCAAGAAAATGAGGATCAAATTAAAACTGAAATCCATTGTACCAACTAAAAAATAATTAATTATGAATATTATCTTTCTGATATTCACACCTATACACAGACACACACACACACATATATATATATATATATATATATATATATATATATATATATATATATATATATTTATATATATATATATTATTTATTAAACATACACTGATACTTTAAAATAACAAGAATATTTTGACGTTAACAAGTACTTTTATCACCTTGGTTTTTCCGTAAATTTAATACTGAAAGTGTATGACTTATTGGGCGGCACCCAACGGACTAGAAACATTTTGAAAACACGGTTGAATTTTTAAAAATTGGCTTAACTAATTTAAAAAATATCTTTCTACATCGATATTTTGTCGCAAAAATAATTGTTGTTAAAGGATAAAGACTGGTAAGAAGCGTCTCAACATTTTTCTAACTGTAAGGGGACGAGGCCGTTTTTTATAATTGTGAATTACTTTAAATCTATGGATATGTGAGGTGTAAATGTGATAGTTCTCTCTGACAATATTCACAACTTGAAGTGAGATATTAAACAATTTATAATTCAAACAACAAGACGAACAAATTTTTAAAGATAACAATGGTTTTTTTAAACTTGTTTTCATAGATCATTGATGCCTGCTATCATTTCATTCAAAATTGTTATTTTTCTGATTTTAATAGTTGATATTTGTTTATTGCTTGATTTTTTTTCTGGTGCTGTTTTTTTTTGGTTTGCATTTGTGTGTTGTATTTATATGCGACTGTAGGTTTGAACTTGAAATTATTAGACTCACTGACATTATCCACTACATAAGAAACGCCTGTAAGTGGCCACATAACAGGTCCAGTTATAGATCGTCGAATACTAGTGTATACTAAAAACAAACAACGAGTATTTTAGAGCTTGCAGTGATTCACGAAACAAATAAAATTTAATTTAATATAATAATAATAATAATGATCAATTCCAATAAAACTGATGATATAAAGTTATTTGCGAATTATTTATTGTTAATAAGGCTATATTTTCAATATCTGCCAATAAATATATTAATCAAAGAGACTGCCATTTACTATTTTAAACAGAACAGCTGTTATATTATCTAAAATATATTTTGAATACATCTTTAAGTTTAAATACGACATCACAGAAACAACTTAGTTCATTTTTGTTTGAATTATGCTTTTTTACTTTTTCGTATAAACGAAGTATAGGAGATTTTTACAAATCTCGACGTTTTACGCCTCCCTGAGTAGGAAAAACATATTTTTGCAAAATCGTGTCTGTATGTCTGTGTGTAGGTGTGTCTGTGTGTCTGTGTGTCTGAAAACACGATAACTTGAGATTTTTTGTTTGTTTGAATTGTGCATTTTTTTTATTAAGATCTAAATTTATAAAACATGTCACTTAGGAAATAGGGTTATACGGTTAAATACATGATTGTACATAGGCAATTCTGTAATCTGACCTTAGTCAGACACTGCTTATTTGCTGGAGACACCTACCTATCAAGTAGAGAAACGCCGAAACATAAAACCTGCATTCTTGGGTGTACTATGGCTATACTGAGGCTATACAGGCACACCGAAGAAAAAAATTATTTTTGTTTTGGGGGATGGGGGTAAGTGGGGCAAAATTCCAACAAGAAACAAAGAAGGAAGAAGATCGGTTAACAAGACGACAGAAAAATTAATTTCGAAACAAATGTGCAATCTTATCAAAAATATTTAAAACTTTATACATTAAAATTTAACATTTTTCAGCCCAATTACTACACCACAAACACTACTGCAGGCAACTGAAAGAGATACAAACACTACTGCAGGCAACATAGATACAAACACTACTGCAGGCAACTCAGATACAAACACTACTGCAGGCAATTGAAAGAGATACAAACACTACTGCAGGCAACTGAAAGAGATACAAACACTACTGCAAGCAACTGAGATACAAACACTACTGCAGGCAACTTAGATACAAACACTACTGCAGGCAACTTAGATAGAAACACTACTGCAGGCAATTGAAAGAGATACAAACACTACTGCAGGCAACTGAAAGAGATACAAACACTACTGCAGGCAACTTAGATGCAAACACTACTGCAGGCAATTGAAAGAGATATAAACACTACTGCAGGCAACTGAAAGAGATACAAACACTACTGCAAGCAACTGAGATACAAACACTACTGCAGGCAACTTAGATACAAACACTACTGCAGGCAACTTAGATAGAAACACTACTGCAGGCAATTGAAAGAGATACAGACACTACTGCAGGCAACTGAAAGAGATACAAACACTACTGCAGGCAACTTAGATACAAACACTACTGCAGGCAATTGAAAGAGATATAAACACTACTGCAGGCAACTGAAAGAGATACAAACACTCCTGCAAGCAACTGAGATACAAACACTACTGCAGGCAACTGAAAGAGACACAAACACTCCTGCAGGCAACTGAGATACAAACACTACTGCAGGCAACTGAGATACAAACACTACCGAGGCAACTGAAAGAGATACAAACACTACTACAAGCAACTGAGATACAAACACTACTGCAGGCAACTGAGATACAAACACTATTGCAGGCAACTGAAAGAGATACAAGCACTACTGCAGGCAACTGAGATACAAACACTACTGCAGGCTACTGAAGAGATACCCTATGTTTTAGGCCTGTACGTTCTGATGTGTTTAGTGTATTGTGTCCAGCCATTTTAATTGTAAATAAAAGAAGACTAACGTTATTCTTTGATAACTGTAGGTTTCGGGAGACATCCATAATTGCCGTCACGTTTGTTTGACGATTTTTACCCTCCCTTCCCCACTGCATAAAAAACTTCACGTTTGTTTGACCATTTTTATTTTTCCTCTCCCATCCCCACTGTCACAAAAAGCAAGACCCCACATTCAATAAGACTTCACACCTCAGACAACATGTTTTTGTCTTTTAAAAAGAAAGACTTCAGCTTTGTATGTGTCTGACCATATTATACTTTCATATGCTAATGTCACAGAAAAAGGTGAGCTCTCCTCACATGTATGTGTGTATATTTCTGTATGTATGAATGTATAGTTATAACAACAATAAAAATCTAATTTGACCTCGGGCATTGGGTGTCCGCTATAGACAGAAGCGATAAAAGTCTCGCAATTGGTTGAAAGGCAAAAGCAAATATTTTAAAAATCATTAAGTTTACGATGTTATTAGAAAATATGGTTGTAAAAAACAACTGTTTTTTTTTGTCGGTCTTTACTTAAAAATGGATGTGTTTGATGTTTTTTTGTATTTTCTGTTACTAAATATCAATCTTCAAAAACCGTAAAAACATATTTGTTGTTTAAATTTATTCACTGAATTTAAAAATAAGGTCTTTGCTTGGCCATGTGTTTTACTAAATGTACAATTTTATTTTTAAAAAATTCATTAAAAAAGTTTTTATTTCAAATTACCTAAATGTTTGGTTTATTGGTAATCGAACATGTATTTTCTTAAGAGCAAAGCAATGTGGTGTCTTATGAAATTCAGAACTTTGACTTCCATTATTTGTTGCTTGCAAGGTGTTAATAACATCAATGTAAATTAGCCGTGGATTACAGGAAAAAAAGACTCATGTGTTCAACTTTACTAATCCCTGTTATGGTTGCCACACAATATAAATTGACAATGACGAAAACAAACCTGTAACTTTTGTTGGTAACTGGGTATTTTAACAAATAGTGTCGCCTTTCGAAATAGCGAAAGCGTGCTTTCATTATACATTCTCAGTTTGTTCTTAGTCGCATTAATTCTGGATGTTCTATACGAGGATGACATTCACAAATTATCTTGAGTTGATGCTGCATACATTAGGGCCATTACGGCATTCGGGCTATTGTTTTTCGAGAAAACTTCCAGCACACAGTATTCTGAAATCTCTTTCCGTAGCCTCCACAATTCAACACATTTCTACACAGGTTTTTAGCGTCAATTGAGTCTGCGCCAATTACAACTTCAAGTATCATTTTCAATTATTCTTGACAGTGTTCGAGCTCTCGACAATGAGTTTGATATTTATTCGCAAAAAATTGCAAGTTTCGGCAGTTTGCTCAAAGTAGTTACATAGTCTTTAATTTTCTCATCCGCTTCCTTATTCCTCTGTTAATGATGAATCTTCTGATGTTTAACTTGTATCCGTAACTGAAATGTTTACTAAAACCTGTCATATCTTTTACTTTTTGATCTTCTGGCTAATTCATGGGAGTGTATATCGTCAACCCCTTAAGACATAAAGTATGTAGAAACAATTCTCTTACATACTCCCCATTTTCTTTCTTGAGACGCGGTTAAACCCCGTCTGCTGAAGTAGATTGTGGGTGCGGTTTTCAACACTTCCCAGTTCAGCAATCAGCAATAGATTTTTTACAATAACATTTTAAACAATTCTTAGCCTTGACGGCTATCACTCAGTAATGTAGACTACAAGCTGCCATGATGTAACATTACTTAACTCGTTGTACTTAGAACACAACAATAGACGCCACCAAGTTTAATTAAGACGCCACCAGGTTTACTTTTAAACATTTCAAGTATGTAAAGTCTTTGACGACAGGTCTGATCACAAGGTATCGTTCATAGTAACGTCGGGATGTAAAAACACAGCTTATAAACTACACCCACACAGACACTACATTTTCAATGGCAATCACTACGAAATATATAGGCCTATCTATATACTACTAAAACTCAAAGTTGTTTACATGCTTGAATATTTATTTGTTTGTTTTTTTGTTTGTTTGTTTGTTTGGCTGATTGACTATTGTACATGGTTACACTCATCGTGCAGAGCTGTGAAATAGTATGTAGGTAGAGAATAATTTTTTAATGCAGACAGACTGTTAATCACAAATTTATTTAAAGACGTTA